CAAATTATGGACTGAAACCTCTACAAACTGTGAGCTAACTCAACCTTTCTTCTTTTAAATTTGGGTGTTGGGTATTTTGTCTCAGCAAAGAAAAAAATAACTAAGGATCTCATTGTAGTTTTGAGTTGTACTTCCCTGATGACTAAACATATTAGATATTTTCTCCATATATTTGTTAGTTATTTGTACTTCTTCTGTTGAGAAACCTTTTAAAACCATTCGCTCATTTTTAATTGTATTACATTATTGTTGTTGTTTTTAAGTTTTTTACTTTCTTATAAATTCTGGATCATGTACTTCATCATACTCTGTACTTTGTGTTCTGTACTCAGGTTAGACACACACTCTTTTTTTCTCATCCCAGGAGAGTGGTTAGAGTTTATTAAGATATCTGGTGCTGGTAAAACAAACGAATTTCTCAGTGTCCTAGAGAGGCCAGGGACATTTCTGATGGCTTCACTCAATTTAATTTTTTTTTAAATTTTTTTATGCTTCTTTATGGTAAGAAATATCTGGTAATTAAAGAAGCAAAAGACTGTACTACTTTAATTAAAATTGTATTTCAAATTGAATTCAGTTGCTACAGTTCTTGTGACGAAAAATGGATGTCTGTGCTGTTGGAGCTCCCACAAGTGTGGAGAAAGGGTGTCTGTGTGTGAATGTGTGAGGGTACACAGCAGCCTCAGGCCTGATGGGTCAGGTATCCTGCATCCCCTATACACCCACCACCCCGACTGTGGATTCTCACTAGACTTTTGAGCTTTTCATTGTTTCATAGTGGTTGAAACACAAGGCAGTAAATTCAGTCTCCTGACACATGCTCATAGCCAGCTTGTGACATTTTTCATCAGCCCAAAGCTCCTCTTTTATCACTCCCGCGGACTACATACTTGAAGACAGTATCTCAGTGTGCGTATTTTGACAGCAAGCTTAATTAGCCTCGATTCAAACATGTGGCTTTCACTGGACATAGTGCTCTGGGTGAGGACGCTCTCCTTTATGCCCCAGGGTCCGATGCAGCCTTTTCCCCACCTCCTGTACAAAACATTCTGAGAAGGAAAGATGATTCTGATCTTTGCTCCTCTATGCATAACTAACTTTTTTCCTTCATCTTCAAGCTATTTTTATTTATCATTAGTTTTCTGCAGTTTGGTGATGTTCAGTGATGTGGTTTTGTTTTTGTTTAGATTGTTTGTGTATTTTGAGTTTCTTGGACCCCGGAGTTCTAGTTTTGATCATTTTGGAAAATTTCATGTCATTATTCCTTCAGAGTGTATTTTGCCCTCTTTCTGAGACTCCATTTCCATACATGCATATTGCTTATATTATCCTGATATTCCCCCTATTGTCACTGAGGCTTGATTTATTTTTTTAAAACCCTTTTTCTATGTTTGACTTTGGGTAGATTCTGTCAGTACATTTTCAAGTAATTTCAAGTAACTTTCAGTAATTTCTGCTCCTGACCCACTTCATCTGCTTCCAAATTTACCCAAGGAGTCATTAGTTCATGCTTCTATAACCCTATTTCTAATGTATATATCTTTTCTTCTCATGTGCAATCTTCCTTCAATTGTATTTGAAATAGTTTTACTGCGTCTTCATTCCTGAGAGTACGTGCTGTTGACTAGCTCCTCTCCTGGCTATGAGTCATATTTTCCTGCTTCTCCATGTTTAGTAATTTTGTACTGAATGATGAACAACACTATGTTACAGTACTGAACATGGATTCTATTGGCCCCCTTTATAGATTGATGTACTGTTTTGAGAAAGTGGCATAATCTACCTGTTTCAGGCTTTTTTTTTTTAAATTATAAGGATAGGTTTAGAATGACTTTTATTCTAGTCAATTTAGCTCCTCCCTTAAGAAGCAACTGCTTTAGGACTTTTACTAAATTTCTTAACTTTTTTCTCATTTTTCTCCACTTTGGCTTGATAGGACTCAAAGATATGTAGATGCTCTGGGAAGTTTTCAGTTTGCTGTTTCTAATAGTACTTTTTCTAGCATGGTGAACCTTCATCCTATGCACACTTAGTACCGAGCAACAGAATCAGCAGTCTGCATATTTGTATAGATTTCTGGAAATCTAGCCCTTCATTACCCCGTTCTCTTTTCTTTCAGGTCCAGGCACTCCAACCTCTCCAGATTCCCATTTAATGAAAATCCTGCATTCTTCTGGGTTCCTTCAGCCTGGGGTGCAGCGTGAAAACTCAGGGACAGAGCGTCTGGAGCACCCTAGCACCTCCTCCTCAGATTCTGCGGAGATCATAGCCCTGCTCTGCCTGCAGTCCACTGTCTGAAGACAGCTGTTTTCTAAATTCATCCAAGCATTTTAGTTGTTGACTTTGGGAGAACAAGGCCAGTATAGCAACAGTTTCCTCAAGTCAACTTTTCTGATTTTCTCCTTTTTTCCAGTAAAATGATTATCTTTCAACAGGGAAAACACAATACAGTAATGATATGAGTATACATATATGCAGAACCATCTATATATACATGAAGAGCCATTGTTGCTCTCTTTTGCTTAAGCTCATCTTAAGTAATTGTTTTATCCCTCTTCCCCCATTGGACGTTACTGTTACCAAAATAAAAGGCGGGATCTGTTTTTGCCATGTCCCTACATCCCACACCTTGAAGTCAGTTCTGCCAATGACACCTTACCCAGTACCTCCACAGTCCCTTCCTAACAGCACTCTCAGATAACCTGCACATGCTCCTGGTCCCTTATGAACTAAGTTCTGTAATGTAAAGCCACTACTTTAGGGAAAAATTACCCTACATACTTGACAAGATTTGTATAGAATCATTCATACTGTATTTTATTTCTAAAAAGTCACAAATCACCATGTATTTTAGTGGTTTCCAGAAAATATATACCTTCATTACTCTCCTTTCTGATGCCCATAAAATGCTGGCCATAAATATGTGCCATTCTCTTTCATTTGCATACTTCTTTAGTGATCACTTCTTTACTTATAACTTCTCCATTAAATTACACATTATCCAGCCTCCTGGCTATAGTAACTAATAGGACTCATCTGTCAACTAAATCAGCCCACCCTGAGAAGGCTGGAGAACCCATCAGTTCCACATCCCAATCTCCTGAATTCCCGCAAAAGGAAAGTAGGCTGATGCTCCTAGACCTGAAGTTTTTCTTTTATTCTGGATGCTTCACTGAGTATCTCCTATTACTAACAGCCCTCATTACATTTCATACAAGAAACGCATTTAGAGTCATAGTTAGATATGTAAAAGAGCATCTTTCCATGGTGGGAAAGAATTTTAGATTAAGATTACATTAGAGATTAAATAAGATTAAGTATAGATTCTAGCAAACTATAGTCACTCTGTGTCAGATTCTTTTGAGGGAAAAAATATGAACTTGAACCATAAGTTTTATTATTTGCAAAATGAAAATCATTCCTTACATGTTACTATGAAGGCTGAGTACATTTGTTTGTGGTGGGTTATAGTCTGGCATAGTGTAGATAATGTAGACAGTACACTCAAAGCACACTTGTGACAAGATAGGACAAAGCCCAGCTTTCAATCTCCTTCTGTCCAGTTAAGACTATTCATCAGGGTTGGTGATATCTTGCCTTGATGCACACTCACACAAGCTCACAAATTCCCTGCTCACACTTGGGTAACGGGCGGTCCTGCAATACTGTCTCAATTCAGAAATGTGAATGTCCAGCCTAAGATATCCAATATATCTAAACTTGATTTAATGTCCACTGCCTCTCCTCTCCCAGATTTGTCCGGAGCCCAGTGGTGAGCAGATAGTATTACCTACATTCATGTACATGTATAAGTTTTTAATCAGCAGAATATTATTTTGCTCTTCTGTGACCTCATGCTGCTGGAAACACAGTGACCTGGAGCCCCATAAAGTAGTGGATTAGAAGTAGAGGGGTCCAACAACCCCTTCCTTTCGCAGATTGGGTGGTGGAGGCAGCGTCCCTGAGAACTAATGGAGCTGGGCAGAAGTCCACACTCACAAACCAGCCTTCATCAAAGTGTCTGGTGCCCTACAATGTTCATAGTCTTCCCAAATTGGTGGCCCCTAAGTGAGATTCCACAGTGTTCATCCAGCTCTGTTTACTCACTATTTGAGCAATTTTTAATATTTACAGGGAATTTTCCCAGGAATACAAAGGTGAACTAAGTATTATCTCTGCTTTTCAGGAACTAATGTTCATAACAGGTTGAGTAATTGTATATCATTTGAGAGAAACTCATTAAAATACATTCTTAATAACAGGATGGGGAAGAGAAAAATCAACAGCAACACACAAGACCTGGCGGGCTTCTGACTCCAGCATGCCAGTCTCCTGGCTTGCACTGTCTGAAATAGATCTGAGGAACAAGAAAGACCACAGCCCCTCATTCCCAGCTAGTTATACGAGACCAAGCATTTACCTTCCTTTCAGGAGCCAACTCCTAAACCACCAACACAGAGCAACCAGGGGACAACAGCCAAGAGTGAACACCATGTTAGAAGGTACTGTCATGAGGACAAGGAGCTATCCTAAAAAAGACTGGCTAGGACCATGTAGTGCTCTTTCCATTTTGGAAGCAGTAGTTGTAGCTCTGCAGCACATGTTCTGCATGAACCCCAAAATCAGAGCTGGAAACAATGTAGAAGCATGCAGGATTCAATGTAATGCTTCTCCCCAAATTTTTATTTTTACATATATAGTAAGGTCTTCACATATTACAAAAATTATTTAGGGGCTATAGTATAAAATATCCCATCAGTCCTGTTCCCCTCCCAGGAGACTTGTGTTAAGTGTCATTGTATCCATTCAGAGATAGAGAAAAGTTTTCAACAGGTGAAAGTGGGTGGGTTCCTGCAGGCAGACATGTGAATCCTACCCCTCACTGGTTAAGGCTCCCTCAACAAGAATGATGTCAAGGTCATCAAGGAAAGGTAGATGAAATGACCTCTGAACTTCCTTCCCTTCCAAACCTGAGATTCTGAGACATTAGCACATCTCACCTCACAGTGAGTAGTAAAGTCCAAAGCTGGACTTTGTGTCCTCTGTGATCTATGATGCTGTCTATTGAAAACCACAGTGTGCCCAGGAAGAGTAGCTGCATACCATGCTCTTTCTTCCCCTTAACTTTGAGGCATTTTTCTTCCTTTACGTTGGTGCTTTGTCCTTATGATCAGATCCCCAGTTGCTCAACAGTTTCATATGAGCATCTTCCACTTGGACATTTCAGCCAGACTGCCTCCCATTCCCCTGCGCTGTCTCCCAGCTCCAGAGGTTCGTGTCATCTGCAGCCAGCTCTCTGTAGCCAGCTTGGGCTCCAGCTTCCTGAATGCATGCTGCACCGCATCCTTTTATTGTCTGCACGTCATCCCCACCGCAGGATGGACCTGAGATCTGACAAGATAAAGAAGCCAAAAGATATAGAAGACATGGACTCAAGAGACAGCATGTAACTCAGCTTGTCCACACGGGCATTCACTGAAACACTAAAGGATGATTGGAAAAACTATAGTACACTAATTAAAACACATTGACTTGTTGGGAGCAGATGCAGAGGTTTGAGTTCAGGGAAGGTAATATTAATATGGCCTAGTTTGAAATTAAATTTTCCAGTATCATAATGTCCACCCTGTGGCCAGCAATTAAATGGACCCCATTAGATAACTCAGCCTATTATCTCCTACCACTGAGTCTCCATCCAGTTGGGAAATCTGGGCACATACCCTTGCTCAGTCTCTACCACAGATCTGCACAGGGAGCCATACTGCAGTCCCCATTACAGGAAGGACCCTGAGGCATAGGAAAAGGAAGCATCTTACCCAGAGCAATACAGAGCAGAGCAGAACAGCCTCTTTTCACTGTTGACTGCTTCCCATCTGTTTCATGGCTGTCTGTGCATCAGTACAGAGGAAGGATGAACATAACCACCAACCAGACCAGGGCAGAAGAAGAAAGGAGACTCTGGCATCAGACTGCCTGGCGTGGATCCAGGCTCCAATGTTGCTAGCTGTAGGATTGATGCCAATTTCCTTCATCCTTTTGTGCTTTGATCTTATCCCTCATTGAAGGGGGTTAAAGTTACCTGCCCCCATGTCGTGAGGCCTGAACAAGATGATGCACCTTCTGCCAGAGCCATACCCGGTCACAGTGAGAGTCCTAGGGGACCAGCTGAGACTGTTATACCATCAAATCCCTTGAGGGCTGTGCTCATCACTATCATCTCCTTTGGACTCCACTGGGCTCTTATTTTCTAGTCCCAAGCATGAGAGTCAGAAGAACAAATACTTTGCAAACCTCAAAGCTGTTTGAGTTACTGTGCACATTCCCCAGGGCACAAAGCAGAGCGCCAGAGGCACTTTACTTTCTGCTTGTCTTGCGAAAGTTTCTGCCTGAGGGACACAGTGGATATCAGTTTATTTAACTTTCACACTTCATCCACATACAGTAAGAAATTATGAACTAGGATGCAGAGAGGTTCAAAATATTAGCTAGAAGCAGCCAAGTGCAATTCCACCCCAATGGAGAAAATCCTCACAGAAGATTCAGGCAGAAGGGCGCTAAGGTAACAGCAGGGCTCATCAGGACACAAAAGGATGCACAGAATGAGATGAATGTATGATGCTGTCTGAGCACATCCCTGTATGGGGGCCACTCCAGTCACCGGTGTGAACAGAGAGTCAACGCCTTAGAACTAGAGCGCTGAAATCCACCCTTTTTTTTTTTTACCTCCTCTCTTTACCCTTGCATTCTGGAACAAACTCACTCATTCACTTATTCAAAACATTTTCCTTTCATAGCCATTTTGGCTTTGAGAAAGAGCCAGAAATCCCATGGTGCCAGATCCAGTGAATAAGGTCGATGAAGATCTGCTGTAATGTTCTTATATGACACAAATTGCCATAAATGTTTGAATCATTTAGAACATAGAGAAACAACCATGAGGAGAGACTCAGAAAAGACAACTTCCAGAACTGCTTCAGAAAGTGGCGAGAAAGATGGGATAAATTTGTTCAAAACTGGGAGGAGTATTTTGAGGGAGTTTAATGGTGATGAGACTTTTACTACAGTGACTTGTTTGTTTTTGTTTAAACATTCATATTTTTCTCATACCTCCTACATTTGTGTGCACACATAGGTACACAGGCACACACGTTCCTCCACATTCTGCTTGCCACCTTCCTCATTCTGATGACTTTGTCGCTGTTGTCCGATCCACACAGTGGCACTGAGTGCTGTTCCTTCTACTGCTGTATTCAGAGGAGGACACCCTGACCATAGTCACACTGCTGCTCTCAGCTCTCTGAAAGACAAATGGAAAAAGTGCATCCCCGGTTTGAGGCTGGACCATGGATGTGTGTGACAAGATAGACAGGAGATTCTGTCACATCCATGCCCATCCTGTCATGGAGAGAGGCTGTAGGCTCAGAAGAGCAAAGGCTTTTCCTAACAAAAGCCTCAGGCTGTCAGCCGGGCCTCCAGGAATGGCTATATGGATGATGGCACCAGGTCCCCCTGTGAGATGGGGAGAGATGACCATTCAGAAGAAGCTCCACAGCATACAGTGACCTTAGTCAGCTCACTTGCAACAGAAGTGATTTAGACTTGGGTGTTTAACGGCTGCTGCTTCTGGGATGGATGGTGCAGATGGTGAGTCATTAAATGGTGCCATGATCTCACAGTTTTCCTGCTCCATGGGAAATGACACAATGAAAAAGCTCTCTATCAGCAGCCAGAGTCAAGCAGTTGTCAAGTAGGTAGCACCCCCATATAATGACTGACACAGTCCAGACAGGATGGACGTGGGAGTGAGCCTACCTCCACCTTATAGAACGTAAGTTTCATTTTATACAGGTCATGAGCAGTTTGGGCAAGATATATCACTAGGTCACAGAGGACACATTAACAAGCCACAGCCTGCCATTTTTCTCTGATCCATTCCCTCAAAAACCCACCAATAAACAGTGCTGGAAAGAAAAAAGCCTCAGCCTGTAAAGAACATCTCTGTTCTGCTCATACAGAGAGGTCCCTCTCGGGTTCAGCAATAAACTTGCTTGGATTTTTGAGCCAAAAACAGGAAAAGAAACTAGACTGTGAGGGAGGAGACCAGAGGAATGTGTAGGACCTTCCAGGTGCAGACCAGTAAGGAAACACTTGCCAAGGAGAGGCTGTGGGAGGCACAGCCCGAGAACACCAGGCCATGTAGCAGCTAACAACAACTCTGTGGACATGAAAGGGAGTCCATACAGGGCTGAAAAGCTGCTGGGAACCTTGAATGCCAAGATTCTTCTCTGGGTGTCATCCTGGAGAAAATATGGAATTGCCAAGGGATCATGAGAGAGCATGCCAGATCAGTCAGTGTGTGTGTGTGTGTGTGTGTGTGTGTGTGTGTGTGTGTGTGTGTATGCATGCGTGCATGTGCATGTGTGCACATATGTGTGTGTGCACATGCATGCAAAGATGCAGCCTCCCTGTCTTTGAAATAAAAGCAAGATCTAGCCCCATGTACTCCCTGAATGACCCTGGTCACTCCTAACTCACCAGCATGGGATCTCTGCCCAGCCCTGAGGGTGCCTCTCACTATCGCCCAGGAAGTCCACGGAAAAGCTCCTCAGGTATGGATAGGTGAAAGGTCTCCATTGGCAGCTGCCAGATCCTATGAGTGGTACCTTTATGACTATCAGGGGCTGTGTCAAGGCAGGTCATGTGTTGAACTGAACAATCCATGGTCTCCTCCCCGTTCCATATTTGTGGGGAAATGGAGGTCATGTGTAGTAACTATCTAGGACTCCCTCGCTGGCCTTCAGAAGTCAGTGTCCATGCTGCTGTTGTTTCCCAAGGAGCACTTTAAGGGGAAGAGGACCTCAAGAAGAGGGAGGATCGCATGGATGTACAAGTGGTCACCACTTTTGTATCATCTGCACACCCAGAACCTGAGACAGCTGAGTTTTTTCCATCCTTATTGTGGTCCTACAAGGAAAGCAATTATTCCAATTGTACTGGAAGCCAGTGCTTTAAGAGATAAGTCTTCATCTTAAGCTGGGATGATATGTTCATGCCCAGGGGAGAATGGTGTCCTTGTATAGGCCTGGCCCAGCTCATAGTCTTCAAGTGACCCTGGCACCACTGGGACATACAGTGGTATGGAAAAGACTAAGGGTCAGTGCCTGGACCCAATATCTCGACCCAGTACTTGGATCTGACCTGACAAGCTCCTAGAGAGCTCCTCACAGCTGCCTCTGCTGGAATCCCTGCACCTCCCTTTTTTTCAAGAACCATCTTTTGTCCCAATGCACAGAAACTGGCATGCTCACACCCCAGGCCCACCAATGTTCACAGCTCTGGTTGAAGAGTGTGTGACTGTCCAATCTTGATCATTAGATTCCGTCAGAAACTTCAGAAGGTTCTGAAGTGGGCCAGCCCATGTTAATTACATTCCCCTCTGCCTGTGGGAGATGCATGCTGCCTGGTCAGTCTGGGCAGAGATGCCCTCAGCAGCATACAGCTATAACTGTCAGATCCTGCACCATTTTACCTGCTGAGCCATCACCAGCAGAAGACTCTTCCTCTCTGCCCCCACAAACATGCAACAAGAATAACTATCTCCTCTTTCCTACAATAGACTTTAAATTGTGTCCAGTGTGAGAATGAGAAGAGAGTTCACTGCAGGTCCATCCCGCAGGAGGACCTGGAGGGACAAAAGCCAGTATGGAAAGGGTGGTCGGTGAGGAAAGCAGAGCAGCAGTGGGAGCAGCCTGGGCCAGCCCAGGACTCCCTGGGAGGTTAGGAGGAACAAGGCCACAAGCAGACAAGCTGCCGCCTGCATTTGAGCCTGAACTGTCCTGATGGCTTGAGGGAATCAGCAAACAGGGAGCGGCATCCTGATGGTTGGCCACAGGCTAACCTGAAAAAGTCGCCAGTCCCTCGAGGCTCAGTCTCTGTTCTTGCAGCATCCAAATAACAAAGTCCAGCTGCCAAAAGAAATAAATAAGGTTTAAAAATAATTGAAGTTTCGATTGCCGTCTTCTCTACCTCCTCCTACTCCCTGTTCCTCCTGCCAAGATACACAGGAACTTGGGCAGAAACAGCAATATTCCCGCAGCAAACCTTAGAATTCCTACTTGACATCTCTGCCCCTCCCCAAATTCCAAACTCCTAGCTGTTGCTGAAAACCCTTTATTTTTTTCTGCTCTCAAACTCTTGACAGGGCTATGCCATGGCCAGGACGCACTTTGCTCCACATCCTGCTGCCCTCTGACCCACCCATCACTCTGACAGCTGCTGGGACCCCCCAGCACCACCACAGCTGCGTGGACACGGAGTGACCCCTCCACCCAAGGACAGGCTGAAGGTGTCCCCAGACAAGCCTTCTTCCTCTGCTCCGTCCTCTGCCATGAGGCGGGGCTGACCCCGGCTTGGATGACCCTGTGACTACACAACTGGGGCGCCTGCTTTAAGAAAAATGAAACACAAATTCGTGAAGTCTAAATAGGAAAAAATTATTGGAAATAGAAACCACAACAAATTATAATTATTCAAAAGCTGACAAATATATTAAGCATAATGAAAAGGGGAGTTTTTGCTAATGAAGTGCCTGATGATGGTTAACATTTTGAATTATTTCCTGCAGAGAACAGAAAGATAATCAAGATCTTCTGGCATGAGGGTTTTAATTTTGTTTTTTGTAAGTGATGATTCAGGAAGTTCGCTTTCACTTCACAAATCATGTTGAGGGGTTACTCCATTGGATGAGGGTTTGGGTCAGATGTTGGTGGGGCCCCCTGGAGGCAGCAGCCCAGGAAGCTTCCCTGTGGGGCAGCTCAGCATGTCACACTCTGCAGACATTGTTCTTCTAACCATCAGGTGATTCCTGGATGACTGGCAAACTTTTCAGAAATCCAGGTTTCCAGGATTTAGCTCAACCCACAAGGTAGCCATATCCACAGCTTCTACCTCCCACCCAAATGCTTCAAAGCATCACAAGCATGCCCATCAGTGGCTCCTAGAAGTGGAAGGTGCCTCCCAGAAGCTGAGAAGAACATTTTCTTTGAGTTCAGTGAGTATACAAGAGACAGACTGGAGCAGGAGAACCATGTCCTTGGTAATCTGCACCACTGCAGTCCAAACTTCTGCCTGGTTCCTGTCCCAGGTGCTGAATTCTTTCCCTCTCTTTGGTGCATTTGTTTAGTTCAAAACAACCATGCCAGCATTTCTACCCAGGAGAAGCAGAGGGCCAGCAGGTGTTTTCTCTAGGAGAAAGGGAAGGACCTTGTTTTAGCTTGTACTGAGATGTCCCCCAAAGCCTCTGGCAGTCATAGGTGGGGCTTTTGGGAGATGGCTGGGAATATGCTGCTGGGATTGATTCACTGTCAGATGTTAGGATTGAGGGTGTCCTGCATTCTAGGGATGGGTAGCCTGGATGAGATATAAGGAACAGAAAAAGGGTGGCTGCTCATTGCCTGTTGCTTGCTGTTTTTTCCCTGCTTCACTGCCTTCTGCCCACCATGAACTGTTTCTCTGTGATATCCTTCTACCATGCCACCCTAACCTGGAGCCAGTCAACTATGGACTGTGAGCCAAATAAACTTGTCCTCCTTTAACTTTGAGTATCAGGTATTTTGACTTAACAAAAAAAAAAAAAAAACTAAGGCCTGTCTTAAAGTAATCTCTCACTGCAAGCATGTTTTCATTTAGAATAACAGTAAATGTCAACCTAGGTGTTGATGTTTATTCACATGTTGTTACCTAGAGCTCCTAGAAAGCCCCACAAAGAGAGTAGCTGAAAACATCAAGTTTCCATCTCACACTATGGAACTGGAGTCCAAGACTGAGAGGTCATAAGGGAACAATAAGCTTTCCTGTGCGATTGCCATGGTCTCAATGTCTGTGTCCCCAAATTTCATATGTGGAAATGCTCATCACCATCCCCCAGGAGTGGCATGAGGAGGAAGGACTTTGGAGGGATTGGTCATAAGAATAGAGCCCCATGAGTAGATTAACTTCCTCATAAAAGAAATCCAAGAGAGCCACCTCGCACATTTTACCATGTGAACACACATCTGCGAATCAAGAATTATCCTCACCAGACACTAAACGTGCCAGCAACTTTGTCCTATGTCTTGTGGGTGCCAGAACAAGGTTGAGTAGATTTCTGTTATCTAGGTGTTACAAGTCAGTCTGTGGCATTTTGCTAAAGCAACTAGAGAGACTGAAACGGGGCCACATGGAAGCCTCTGGAAACCATGTGGACATAAGAAGGCCTGAGCCTATGGTTTGTCTCTCTTGGAGCTTGGCTGTGTATACTCCTTGAAGGAAACATCAACTGTGTCCACTGGGACACAAGAAGAAATGAACTGACACCGTAGTGATGGGCTTATTCAGCAGAGAAACCAGGGAGACACAGCATGATGGGGGACACCTCAAGAGGCTCCATTCAGGAACTGCAGGTTGTTTTGGCCTGAGAATCACCAGATCTGAGTTAAGAAGAGGCTCACTGATTTCAAGAATGCCTGGGAGATCTCTTGGCCACAGGAAAGGTACCAGAAGAATATGTGTTCAGGGCTTACAGCACACACAAAGCAGCTGAAAATGGACAGACAAGGACAGTCTTGTGGTGCCAGCTCTGACGATGACCTTCACCCACCTCAGAAGTGACTCACAGGCACAGGTCCATTACGCTTCAGAGCTCTCTGCCTGGGAAGGAGGATCTAAAAACCTGCTTGCGTTGGTCTCCATCACTTCACAACCTTAGCATCATCCTTCCCCTTCCCCTGCCTCCTGCATCAAAGCCCAGAGTCTCGGGCTACTGTGCGAGCCTTGCCTTGTCTTGAACCTTGTTTTTTCCTCTATTAAAGGATCATAAAAAGTCAATATGAGCCAAAGTAGAGGATAGACATTGGGAAATAGGAAGAAAATGTTCAAATGGGAAGGGGAACAAGAGAGGAACTAGGAAAGAAAGGTGGGGATTTTAAAAATTAAAAAAATGGAAAGAAAACAGTAGAAACAAAGTTTTTGAAAAGGGAGAAAGGATAGAAGGGAAGGATGGAAGGATGGAAAAAAGAATTAACATATAATGTGTACAGATACAAATTTCCTATGATGAATATGATCATTGTGTATGTCAAAAGTGTACCAATGAAATTAATTTTTAAAAACCCAATAGGACTTTTCTGAATATAAATTTTAAAAATACAAGAAAAGTCCTTAGTGTTAGTACACGCTATTACTCAGTAAATGTGTCCAGCACTGTACAAGGAAGTGAGTTAATATGAGATCTGGAGGAATTTTCCAGGATGCAAGTGCTACACAAAAACAATTTTTTTCTTTCCAAATTCCAGCATTTAGAATCTTCCCAGTACACGTCAAGCAAAAAGCAAGCAGCAAAGCTAACTCCTATGCGGTTCATGTCTGGTTACAGGCAGAGTGGGAGAGGGCCACCAAAAACCCAGTCAGGGGAAGGAGGCCTTTTGAGCATTTGCATCCTGCCATCCTCAGAGCCAGACAAACAAGATCAGGTGCTCTGCTCCGGGAGCCCCAGAGCACAGGGAGCACAGCGCTCTCCTTCATCCCAAGTGGCTCTTCCTGGAACATGGTCAGGGCGGGACAGAGCTGAGCTCACATCTGCATCCACCTAGAGGTATGAGGCAGACACCCAAGCCCATGTGCTCACACAGGACCAGGTCCAACAGATTTGAACACAAGAAAGATGGTGTGAAAATTCTCTAAGGTGAGACCTGCCTAAGGGTGACAGGATGCTTAGGGTTGGATGGTGAGAGAGGACTTGGCAGGAAGGCAGGAAGGGGCCACCCTGTCATTACCAGGATGGCCTGATCCTAAAACTGAAAGGAAGACTGAGAAAGAGGGAGAGGCTAAGAACCTCTCCTTTCTCTGTTAAAAGTGTCTATAATTGTGAAGTAAATACTAAAGGCTCTATGAGACTGTCCTTGGCCAGCACAGATTCTTAGCCATATCTAGGCTGGAAATCAGACATGGGCTGGTTCTTACATCTATCTGCTTATGACCATTATTGTTGTCTGCCCTCTTCTCCAGGCCCTTCCAAAGGAAAGGATCCCCAAATGTGCCACCAAGACATTACTGATTGGCTGAGGCAGAAATAAAACTTTGGCCAAGTGTAGCTCTTTTAGTGTTAAAGCCTTGCACTTCGAATACCAGTGGCTATCAGCTCTTTTAGTGTTAACAGTGCTCCTCCTCTTCTGACCTCCAGAGATGATAGATCCCAGTAAGGTGTCTCCGCTGCTTTCCATCATTCTTTGCAGCCTTTGGTGTTACCACTTCCTAGCAAACTAGCTCAGCATGCTCGACTGGAGATAGAAATCATCAATAGGCAGGGATATGCCATCTAGAAGAGGCTTTATTAGGACATATGCTGCAGTGGAGGGAAAAATAGCACATGGACTGAACCTGAGAAGGGAAGTTGCTAATATATACTGAAAAAGGCAGGCTTGTGCATGCAGTGTCTGCTTGATAGGCAAAGGAAAGGCCTTAAAGGAGGCTGCAGAGGGGTAGGAGCATCCTGTGGGGCAGCAGGGTAGAGTCACCTGCGAGAGTTCTGTCTCTGAAACTCACTGCAATCAAAGCAAATGTCTCTTGAAGTGGTCATGAGACACTTAATGCAGCAGATTGGCTGAGAATCATTTGGCGCAGCCACAGATGAGAAACAAAGGTGTCTCTTGGGGGACTTTCAGGCCCTTGTCTCCTGTCTCAGGGCTGGGGTTACATGGGGATCAATGGCCCTTCATGAGGACATGGAGGGGTTGCTGTGTGTTGAAAAAGATGTGGAATATTTGCATATACCAAGGAGATGCCTGAGCCACATGCCAGAAGTGATTACACACACCTTGGCATGCTGTGGGTCTTCGCTCTTTTAATGTCACCCACAAGTGTACATCAGATACTTCTTTCCATTTCTCTATTTGTGCAGTTAATGGTGACTACAACCCCCAGAAATCAT